TGGCCCAGAGCATCTTCCGTCTGGGTGAGGAGCTGGTGTAAGGTGGGAAGCAGGTGTATTCTGTTGCTGCATGAAGTCGGCCTGTAGATGGCAGTTCTCTGTGGCTGGTGGTGTGAAGATGAGCTTGATACTTTTAGAGTCCCTGCTTCTCGGACCACAGGGCCTTGGATGGAGGCGCGGGCAGGTCTCCAGTTGGTGGAGGCCGACTCAGCTCTTTCTCGCACTGAGGAGCGACTCTTCTGTAGCCTTGCTGCTGATTTCCCTTGCTGTGAAGTTGGCTGTATCTCATTAATATACTCTTATATTTAATATAAGATACATATTTAGTATTCGTATATTCAATATATTATTTATATTTAATGTAAGACGTATTTAATAATTATTTTTTAATTTTAAAATTTGTTATTTATTATTATTATTTTAATAATGTAGGAGTTCTGCTATTTATTCAGCCATTGATTAAGCTGATTGAATTGGGCATGAACTCCACATTACTTTTTTTTTTTTTAATTGTATCACCATGAGATACAGTTACAAAGCTTTCTTGTTTGAGACTCAGTCATACAATGTTGGAGCACCCATCCCTCCACCAGTGCACATTTTCCACCACCCACATCCCAGTCCTCACCCTGCCTCTATGGCAGACAGTTTCCCCAGTAATCTCTCTAATTTTGGACGTTATGTTTTGCTCGAAACTTCCTACCACCCTTCAAGCCTACCTGCCAGGGCCAGACACTAGATAATTTATTTTCCATTGCTCATTTGAGTATCGCGAGAGCTCGCACGGCCTCGATTGTAAATGTAAATTTCTAGATTGTAAATGGTTGGGTTCCAGAGACATCTCTGTTTGGCGCTAATCCATTTTGGGATTCAGTTGGGAGTCTCTGGGCCAGGGCTGTTGGTGCGCTAAGATGGAGCCCAGAGGCAAATTGTGGGCGTGACAGCCAGTCTGCTGGGCCCGGGAAGGACAGCCCAGGTCCTCTGCCACCATGTGGCCTGGAGATTCAGTCCTGGAACCCACATACCTGGATCTTGCTTGTGGAAGCTCTTGGTCACCAGAATTCCATAATAATAATTCTTTTGAGTAATGTTCATAGGATAGATCTTTCTCCATGTCTTTACTTTTTTTTTTCCTTCGGGGTGAGGCAGTGGAGGGTGTTTGGGCCACACCTAGTGATGCCACAGCTATTCCTGACTCACGACTTGGAGTTGCTCCTGGGGGTGCTCAGGGGACCTTGTGAGGCCAGAGATTGAACCTGGGCTGCCTGTATGCAAAACCTTTTGAGCTGTCTCTCCCGTCCCATCTCTTTATTTTAATTAATTTTTTCTTTTGTTTTTTGGGCCATATGTACAAATGCTCAGGGGTTACTCCTGGCCCTTCGCTGAGGAATTACTCGTGGTGGTGCTCAGAGGACCATATGGGATGCCGGTGATTGAACCCGGGTTAGTGTAAGGCAAACGCTAAGCCTTACAGTGTTTACCGTATTACTGCTCTGGTCCCCCATCACTTTTAATTTATAGGTGTCTTTCTACCTATTTTGGGCTTCTTATAAACAGCTTGTAGTTGGGTCTTGTTTTTATTTTTTTAAATTTAATTAATTAATTTTGGGCTGGAGCAATAGCACAGCGGGTAGGGCGTTTGCCTTGCACGCGGCCAACCCGGGTTCAATTCCCAGCATCCCGTATGGTCCCCTGAGCACCGCCAGGGGTAATTCCTGAGCGCAGAGCCAGGAGTAACCTCTGTGCATCGCCGGGTATGACCCAAAAAGCAAAAAAAATTAATTTTTTAATTTTAATGTAGGGCTGGAGCGATAGCACAGCGGTAGGGCGTTTGCCTTGCACACAGCCAACATGGCTGACCCGAGTTCGATTCCTCTGCCCCTCTCGGAGAGCCCGGCAAGCTACCGAGAGTATCTCGCCCGCACGGCAGAGCCTGGCAAGCTCCCCGTGACGTTTTCGATATACCAAACACAGTAACAACAAGTCTCCTGATGGAGACGTTACTGGGCCCGCTTGAGCAAAATCGATGAACAACGGGAGGACCGTGAACCCCCGTGAATCCCCGTGAATGTAGGAGCATTGCTATTTATTGAGTCATTGATTAGGCTGATTGAATTGGGCATGAACTCCACTGTGTCTTGTGTTTTTGATTCACTCTGACAATTTGTCTTTTAATTGGTATTTAGAACATTTTTGAAATTATTGATAAGACTGGGTATCCATCCATATTAATTACCATCTTCATATTAAAAAATCAGTTTGAAAAGATTTATTTATTCTAGGGCTGTATCTTACAGTACTGGGAGGCTCCTTCCATTTCTGTGCTTGAAGGTTGCTTCTGGTGATGTTTGGGTGACTATGTGCTGCTGGGTCCAACTCAGGCCTCCAGCACTCAGAGAAGGTGCTCAGGATTTTTAAATTGTCTCTCGGGTCTGGGAAAGTAAATTTTCTCTGTCGGAAATGCATTTAATGGAAAAAAAAAGGTTTTGGGTGCCACACCTGCTGGTGTTTAGGGGCTGTCCCAGCTCATTGCTGGGTGGGATCCTGTGCGGGGATGTGCCTTCCGCGTGGGAAGCATGTACCCCAACCTGCTGAGCTATAAAATTCAGCATGGAGGCCTTCAGAGGATGTTGGTGATGTTTTGGGGCCAGGCCTGGTGGTGCTCAGGAGGCCATGCGTGGGGCTCTGTATCTGATGTCAGCGCATGGAAGGCATGCACCTGGGCCTTGCTCTGGACCGCCTCTTTGGCCCTGTGGCTGTCTGTGTTTGTGTGTTTGTAAACACATACAGAGGTGAAAATTTGAAATTCAGATTTTGGCATAAAAATATTTTGGAGCCAGGGATTTAGCTCAGTGGTAGAATGTGTGCTTGTCTTGCCTGTGTGTGACCTTGGATTCGATCACCAGCACAGGAGAAACAAACCAGAATAAAACCGCTAAACTCTTCAACACACATGAGTGCACACACACACACACACACACTCACACACACACACACAGTGTATGGAAAATATATGCATATTACCATAACATTGAATTGCATCAACAAAACAGATTTTGATTTCTGGATTATTCCTCAGGGGCTGCTCCCCGCTTGGTCACTCCCAGAGGTGCTTGGGGGACCATGTGGTACCAGAGAATTAAACCTCGGGGGGCCCCTGGGTGCAAAACACATGGTCCCACCCTTTGGGATATCTCTCCAGACTTATTTTTAACCCTGTAAATAGATTTTCTATGTTTTCTACTTTTCTGCAAAGAATAATTAATAATTTGTTTCAGTTAATTCAGCTGTGATTTTTAAAAAAAATTTTTATTAGAGAAACACCATGAGGTACAGTTGTAGACTTACAAATTTTTGTGCTTGGGTTTCAGTTATACAATGATCGAGTGCCCATCCCCCCACCAGTGCCCATTCTCCACCACCACTGATCCCAGTATCCCTCCCACTCCCCATCCCTCCCATCCCATCCCTCCTCTGTGGCAGGGCGGTCCCTTTTGTTCTCTGTCTCCTTTTGGGCGCTGTGGTTTGTAAAAGAGGCATTGAGTGGCAGTCATGTTCGGTCTATGGTCTACTTTCTTAGCTGTAATTTTAAATGTTTTTTTCATAATATACTAAAACTCACATTTGAGCCAGAAACGGGATGGTGAAAGAGGTTCAAAGTATTTAGCTTTTAGAATCACGTGATAGACATAATCACTGTCACTGTCACTGTCATCCCATTGTTCCTCGATTTGCTCGAGTGGGTTCCAGTAATGTCTCCATTTGTCCCAGACCTGAGATTTTAGCAGCCTCTTTTCTTGTCTTTCCCAACTTGCTGGAGACTCTTTCAGGGTCAGGAGAATGAAACCCGACATTGTTACTGTTTTTGGCCTATCATACGACACGGGTAGCTTGCCAGGCTCTGCCGTGCAGGCGGGATATCCTTCGTAGCTTGCAGGGCTCTCTGAGAGGGATGGAGGAATGGTGTGGTAATTATGAAAGATGGGTCGGGAGTGTCTTATGATAAGTCCAGGAGTATGTTCACTCCTATGTGAAGTTAGGCCCGAGCGTGTGGAAAGGGCCTGGAGCGTGGCGGTGGTTGGGTTGTGGAGGTCGGCTGCCAGGGCTGGGTCCCTTGGGGCATAAAATAAAAGCATAAATAATGCGATGGACTTGGAAGGAAAATTTATTCACTCGTTCGATCCCATCGGCGGTCTTTTTCCCAGAGGCACCCACACTCAGATCTCCTAAGTGTTGCTTCTTATCCTTTTCCTCCCTGTGGATGATAACACACTTTTTGTTTTCGGGTTATCATTTGAGGTGGTTTTTGGCTTTCTTCTTACTATGGAAGATGAAGATTTAATATATACATATATTTTTCACCCTTTTGTACTTGGGTCACACTTGGCGGTGATGCTTAGGGGCTGCTCCCTGGGTGGGACTCGGGGACTCAGGACTCGGTCTGTGGGAGGGTGGGGGTCAGACTTAGGCTTTTGGGCTGCAGAGCACATACTCCAACCCACTGAGCTCTCTCCGCAGCTCCAGGTTTCAGACTGTTAAGTTGCCATGTTTAAAAATAAAGAGAAGTGTGACTTCTTTTAGTAAAAGTTTGTAGCTCTTTTACATTTAGGTCAAGGGTGGACAAAAGGGAGATGATGGTTTCTGTTTGTTTGTTTGTTTTGGGGTCACACCCTGCGATGCTCAGGGGCCACTTCGGGGGACCATTGGGGGTGCTGGGGATTGATACTGGGTCAGCCGTGTGCAAGGCAAACACCTTACCGCTGTACTGTTTCTCTGGTCCTGGTGGTAATTTTTTTTTTTTTGGTTACACCTTGGTGATGCACAAGGGTTACTCCTGTTTTTGCACTCAGGAATTACTCCTGGCGGTGCTCAGGGGACCATATGGGATGCTGGGGATCAAACCCGGGTCAGCCGCATGCAAGGCAAATGTCCTACCTGCTGTACTATCACTCCATCCTCTGGTAATGGCTTTGACTGAATTTCTTTTTTCTTCACTGCAGGTTGTCTTGTGGAAATGAAGGTTTAAAGAGAAGTCATTTATCACAGTAGAAGATGGGCTCGAACAGCAGCAGAATCAGTGATCTTCCGAAAAATGAGTACTTAAAAAAGCTCTCAGGAACAGAGTCTGTCTCTGAGAATGATCCATTCTGGAATCAGCTTCTCTCATTTTCTTTCCCTGCGCCTACCAGCAGGTAAGAGCTTGACCGGGTTGAAACCCAGAGAGAGTCGTCGGGACCAATGTGGGATGGTGACTGGGAACAGGAGCTTGTTGGGGGCTCCACCCGCCTGCGTTTAGGGGTAGTCACCCCTGGCAGGGCTCGGGGTGTCGCAGGGCTGCCAGGGGTTGAACCCGCGTTGGCCGTGTGTGAGGCAAGCTTCCTGCCTGCTGTCCAGCCAATCCCTCTGCCTGGGACCAGATACTTGGAAATACTCTCTTCTGTCTCTCTGTCCATCTGGTCTCTTTGTCTTTCATGTAAGAAAAGAAAAAATCCACAAAGTCTAAATAGCAAGAATGAAATTATTCTCTTTCTCTCCTGTCACTCAGCTTCCTTCTTTCCCAGAAGTGATTTCTGATAACCTTTGAATGCTTCTGAAGAAAGTTTGAAGTTCCTTACAAACAACAAACAAACACTGTCCTCCCGATGTTCATCAGTTTGCTCGAGCGGGCCCAGTAACGTCTCCATTGTGAGACTTCTTGTTACTGTGTTTGGCATATTGAATACTCTCGGTAGCTTGCCAGGCTCTCCGAGAGAGGTGGAGGAATCGAACCCTGCTCGGCTGGGCTGGCTGCGCTCAAGGCAAACGCCCTACTGCTGTGCTATCACTCCAGCCCCTTAAGGGTATCTTAAAGGTATCTCGTATAGACTGAGTTGTCTGAGTATGTATCCTGTTTCTCCCCTGCCCCAGGGTGCAGTAAACGGCCTTCTGTGCACAAGTATATATGCAACTGCCTTATTCTTTTTTAATTAAAAAAATTTTTTTTAATGAATCACTGTGAGACATAGTTACAAAACTTTTGTTATTGAGTTTCAGCCATACAGTGATAGAACACCCATCCCTCCACCAGTGGCACATTTTTCAGCATCAGTGTCCCCAGTATTTCCCACCTCCCCCCCCCCCCAGACTACCCCCTTGACTCTATGGCAGACAGTTTCCCCCATACTCTCTCTCTACTTCTGGGCATCATGATTTGCAATACAGACACTGAGAGACCATCATGTTTGGTTCTTTATCAACTTTCACCGCACATCTCCCATCCCGAGTGATCCCTCCAACCATCATTGACTTAGTGATCCCTTCTCTACCCCAGCTGCCTTCTCCTTCAGCTCATGGGGCAGGCTTCTAACTGTGGAGCAATCTTTTTGGCCCTTGTGTCTACTGTCTCTTTTTGTTTTTGGATCGCACCAGCGATACACAGAGGTTACTCTTGGCTCATGCACTCAGGAATTACGCCTGGCAGTGCTTGGGGGAACCATATGGGGTGCTGGAATCGAACCCCGGGTCAGCCACATGCAAGGCAAATGCCCTACCCACTGTGCTATTGCTCCAGCCCCTTGTGTCTACTGTCGTGGTGTCAGTCTTATTTTATATTCCATAAATGAGTGCAGGCATTTTATGTCTGTCCCTCTCTTTCTGACTCAATTCACTTAGCATGATACTCTCCATGTCCATCCACTTATAAGCAAATTTCATGACTTCATCTTTCCTATCAGCTGCATAGTATTCCATTATGTAGATGTACCAGATTCTCTTTAACCAGTCTTCTGTTCTCGGGCACTTGGGTTGTTTCCAGATTCTGGCTATTGTGAACAGTGCTCAGTGAACGTACAGATGCAGATGTCATTTCTACTGTGGCAGCTGCCTTGTTCTTTTTGGTGGCTCTTAAACGTACATAGTCAGTTTTTGTTTGGTGGATATTTAGAGTGTTTACAGCCTTTTGTTATAAGAGTGTCCTGCATAATATTTCACATGCATACAGATATAACTCTTAATATAAATTACTTTTATTGCAGTTGTTGTGTTAAAGCAATTAACAATTGCATTTGTGGGCCTTGCATGCGACCCACCTGGGTTTGATCCCTGGCATCCCTAATGGTTTCCCCAGTACCACTGGAGTAATTCCTGATTGCAGAGCCAGGAGTAACCCCTGAGCATTGCCAGGTGTGACCTAAAAACCTAAAAAATAATTGCATTTGTAACTTTTGTATCACTGTCACTGTCACTGTCTTCCCCTTGTTCATCGATTTGCTCGAGTGGGCCCAGTAACGTCTCCATCGTGAGACTTGTTACTGTGTTTGGCATATCGAATACATCACGGATAGCTTGCCAGGCTTTGCCGTGCGGGCAAGATACTCTTGGTAGCTTGCCGGGCTCTCCGAGAGGGGCGGAGGAATTGAACTCGGGTTGGCCATGTTGGCTGCTTGCAAGGCAAACGCCCTACCCGCTGTGCTATTGCTCCAACCCAACTTTTGTATGTATCACCAAACTGTGTTCCATTGAAGTTGTATCAACTATTCCTACCGGCAGTATATGAGATTTGAGAATGTCTGTTTTCCTATACTTTTGTCAGTTTAACACATTTTTTAGACTCTAACCTTTGTCACTGTGTGAAAAATTGATCTCTCTCTCTCTCTTCTCTTGTTTTTGGGTCAGGTCACACTGGCCATGGTCAGGGCTACTCCTGGCTCTGTGCTAGGGGATCACTTCTGGCGGGCTTGGGGGACCATATGGGGTGCTGAGGATGGAACTCAGGTTGGCCATGTGCAAGGCAAGTGCCTTCCCCACTGTTCCAGTCCTTCTTGCTTGTTTGTTTTGCTGGGGAGGGGGGCATACCTGTTGATGCTCAGGACTCACTCCTGGAAGTGCTCAGGGGACCAGGAAGATAAACCAGGGTCTGCACGCTAGGCAAGCACCTTACCTCCTCAATTGTCTCCCTGGCCCCTACTTTCTTAATTCTAAGTGGGTAGACATACATTAATGATGGTGACTAGAAGTGACTATTGAATTTCTACATACTTAACACCTAGCTTAAAAACTTAGAGTTGTGATCAGTTTTACTGTGCTGGACAGGCTTGTGGTCTCCTGCTGGTGTCCACCCTCGGACACTGGTGTGCATGGGCGCCTCATCCCTTTCCAGGTGGCTTTGGTTGGGGACACACCCTGCAGTGCTTAGCTCAGCACTTGGGAATACTCAGGGACCAGGCCGAACTGGGGCTCGGACCTGGGCCTCTCACCTGCCAGGCAGCACACACGGTCTCTGTGCTACCTCGCAGGCCCTCTTTCATCCCGAGTGAGAGTCTATCGTTTGGATATCTGCTCCTGGGATAGCATCTCTTTCCGAGAACCTCCTGTAGGTGCTCTTAATCTTCTACAGTGACACACTGATGCCATGTCTTGTTTTTTTGTTTGTATTTTGGGCCACACCTGCTAGTGCTCAGGGCTCCTGGCCGGCCTCGGGGACCCTCTGCGGTGCCGGGAATTGAACCCTCATTGGCTGCATGCAAGGCAGAGCCCTCCTTGCTCCTTTCAAGGCCCATCTGCTCCGCCTCTGTGGCGAGCGACAGGAGTTCTCTGGTCACAGTGCACAGTCGACTCACCCAGGTCATGTCACTGGCTGGCTGGGGCTAAAGACTGTCCTGCATTCTTGCTGGCACTAGCCATGTCCTCCTGTGGTAGAAGTGGGGAGGAAGCCACCAGCCCCCTGTTTCACAGGCCCACATAGGAGGGCCCCAGATGGGTGACCTCACCCTTCCCGCGGCCCGCTTGCTAATACCATCGTTACGGGGCATTCAGGTTCCAATATATGCTTCATGAGGGTCATGCATGCCTGTGAGTAGGAAGTCTGCCCTGTGGGTAGGTAACGGTGTGGAATGCACACTTCCGTGAGTCCTGCTCTCCCTGTTGGTTACGTGATGGGGACCCTTGGTGCTCCTCATCCTTTCTGATTAGAACAGCCCTGCATCAGGCTGACCAGGCCCTTGCCGTCTGGGAGCGGCAGGGACCAGCCTCTCTGTGCCCTGCGAGGGGCGTGGAGCCGGGTGACCGACTTCTGTTCTTTCTTGGCTCTGGGCTGGCTGCACGTTAGAAACACAGTGAGAGGTTGAGTGCGACTGGGAGGAGGGTGAGTCTCGAGGGCTTCAGGGCCAGCTGCTCAGGGCCTTGGGGGGCTTCAGCCCGAGAGTCTGACCATGGATTCCTGTTAGAAAGTTAGAAAGCTGCGCCTGTTAGAAAACAGGGGACTCAGACCGCGGACCCCATAGGTTTCTGTTGAGCACCTTTGGTCAAAGCATTTTTTCAGTTTTTGAAGGGAGCAAAGGTTCTCAAACTTAACTGCTCTATTTAAATTTTTTTCCTGTTTATTTATATTTTGAGGGGAGGCATATCTGTTGGTGCTTGGGGCTTACTCCTGGCTCTGTGCTCAGAGATCACTCCTCATGGGACTTCTGGGACCATATGGGATGCCAGGCATCAAGCCCAGGCCAGCCATCTGTAAGGCAAGTGCTCCTCTTGCTGTTCTACTATTGCTAGTACAGCATTCTCTCTCTCTCTCTCTGTTCTCTCTTACTGGCATTTTATTTATTTATTTATTTATTATTTAAAATTTTTTATTAGTGAAACACCATGAGGTACAGTTGTAGACTTAAAAATTTTTGGGCTTGGGTTTCAGCTGTCTCTTTTTTGGAAACAGAAAAATTATGTAGCAGCACTCCAGCAGTCTACCTTGCTTAAGCTCACCAACAGAAAGCGCCCCACATTTGAGGTGAGGATCCTCCCCAAACCCCCTGGGGACCGGTGTCTTTCGCTTTGGGATATTTGAAAGATTTGAACGCTTAAGGGTGATGAGCAGGGGCTGGAGTGATAGTCCAGCGGGCAGGGCATTTGCCGTGCACACGGCAGGTGCAGGTTTGATCTCTGGCACCCCATATTGTTCCCTGAGAACTGTCAGTGATCCCTGAGTACCAGTGAGTATGTCTTACCCCTACCCCCCAAAAATATTAGTTGGTACTAAGTACGGTAATGTTTGTCTTTGTGTTTGTACTCTATTCTTCGTGTTGTTTTGCTTGGAGACCCGATGCTGGTGTTCAGGGCTCCCTCCCGGCCCTGTGTTCGGGAATCACCCGTGGTGGTGCCTGGGAGACCTCTGCTGTGTTGGGGTATTCTGCAGTTGGCTGTGCACGGCAGGGACCCTGTG